TCCCGTACGAATAACAATCTCGTATAATTCGTAGGGGAGTAAAAAATGTTGGTGAATATATATTCGCTGAACCGACTCCCGTACGAATAACAATCGCCAAATTGTAGTAATATTAGATGGTAATAGCCATATTCAAACAATAGACAACAAAGGAGTTATAGTGTAATAGTACTAAATACGCTGAAATGTATTTCACAGGTTTATGAAAATCACTCTTTGCACTCTAGTCTTTAGATACAAATTGTTAAATACGAAATAGGCGGAATAAAATAAAACAAGCAAATAATGTGAAACAAAGAATATAGAATATCAATATTTAACTGCATATGAATAATAAGTGAATGTTGATAACAAACAGATCAGAGATGCTGTGATTTAGTTTAAGCTGCGTTCACAATGTATTGCAGAGGGGGAGGGAGTGGGGGGCAAAATTCTTAAGACATCCCCTTGAAGTCCCCCCAAAAAATTCAAACCCTCCTCCCCCTCCATTTTACTGGTAAAAAAATTCCGATCCTCCCTAAATTTCACCTGCCCTCCCCTTCCCCTCTGCCATACATAATGAACGCAGCCTTATCACCGACTAATCAAAAACAGCATGCAGCATCTTTCAAAATTTATAGAAAAAATAGAATTGTATTTATATTCTAGTTCGATTCGTTAACATAAGACAAATACAGCGCCATATTCTGAACACCCTTCACGTAACGATGAGTTAAATGCCCGCCATGTTTAACAGAATTACTCATGTCAATTGATCTAACTGTTCTAGCTATGAAAACTTTTAGGGGTTAAATTTGAACTACTTATTTCAGTTCTAGATTAAACTTACTTGACTAGTACAGAAGTTCAGCTATCAATTCGTCGTTGGAGCTAAGATACGTTACTCTTACCAGATTCTAAAAATTTGTAGCCGAAAACAAGTTTAGTCTGGGAGTCGACAATCAGTGCTTGTATTATACCTTATTTCTTGCCTTCGCTATAGCTTTGCTTCTATTCATTAAAATTTTTGTTTCGGTTTCTTATCACCGCAACGTTGAAGAGAGATAAAACCTGAATCGATACTACCTTCTAATTTTAGAATCACAAGCGGTGAAAAACAATGAAAAGGCTATTTCATCTGCTGAAAAAAATGAGATTGAAGAGACCCCTTGAGTGTTAGGACCAAGTGATAGGACAACTGCATTGTCAAGGGGCTATGGGCAACTACTTGAAATGCGGCCTCTTTTACACCTTATACCGCATCGTTTAAAATTTAAGTTTGGAAGCTACAGTGTATAAGCTCAGCAGTTAGGGAAAATACAGGACTGAGACTGTGAAATGGCTTCCCAATCACTGGATTGGTTGCTCACGCGTTTTCTTGCTTTTTTGATTGGTTGAGAGCGGAATATCGAAGCCATTCGTAAGTGACAACAAAGATATTGGATGTTTTTCCATCTACACCAATTTGCACATTTGAACCGAATTTTACTGGTAAAGGTTTTAAATAAAGATACACATCTAATTATTCAAATATTCAATAGGAATATGTTAAAAAGCTTTGTTCTGATTGGCTTTAGCTCGTAAACAATAAACCCGATGAAGGTAAGTTTCTAAACTTGAAATATCGCTTTTTGTTTTCTAAAACCGAAAAAAAATAATTGTATAATGATAGTAAATTGCTAATGAAGAAGCCAAAATAGCTTCTTCTTTTGTTAGGCTTGACTTAGGTAATGATAGACGCATTTAATCGAATTTATTTAATAATAATAATAATAATAATAATAATAATAATAATAATAATATGGTATTTTAAAAAGCGTCAATATCCAGGCGTTCAACAACGCTTTACATTTTCTACAACATTCTCAATAATAGAATTAAAAATTATAATTTAGAAAATTACTGTTTTATTGATCTATACATTTTTGTTTTGAACATACATACTTATACTATTTTACCAATCATCATTGTCATCATCATCATCATGATGCATCATCATGCATTATCACCACCATCACCACCTGCATCACCACCATCACCATCATCA